CACCCTCATTGACAGTCACAATGGCTATCAAGAGATAATTACTGCACATGGATGACAATACGGCACAGTACATGTGCTAAACAGGATGGACAAGTTGTCTGAGATGATGTACATACAGGGCCAGTGGGCACATTTTGAATCTACATGAGTGAGGGAGGTGTAGACACATGTAACTCCCTGAGGCACTTGAACATCCATTAAAAATCCAACTACAATCACCTGTACATGTGAGTCATGGGTAAATAACCAGGCTGAACAACATGTAGCAATCCATTTGTTACTGCTGGATTATCCCTAGTGCATTGTCTCAACTACAGTGCTCATATATGTAGTCCAGCCCTATTTCCTTTTTTTCAAGGTGGAAACAGCTTTACATTGTGTTACATATGATTTGCTCACCTGGGTGAGGTCATACATGGCTCACGCTGTATGCACATGATGCATACATGTAATTGTGCTATCCTGACCCAAATGTACACAAGCACCCAGCTGAAACCCACTCAACCTCCATTACTACTGTTCAAGAGAAGGGTACCTTCTCAAAGGCTGTACTCTCAATGCGCTGCACTCTAGCACAGAGTAGTGAGTGTATCATGTCAAGCTGTGATCACTATATATAGTATTTGACTTCAACCATCAATGAAAGCAATGAAAAAAGAACTTAAAGAGTGACACAAGTTGGTAAACAAATCAGAAAAAAAGCAAACAAAAGATGATTAAAACACAAGACTATTCATCCTCAGATGAAGATTCCTCCTCATCATCCCCCTCAACCAATTCCTGCCTGGCCTTCTCCTTAGCTTGAGTAATGGTCATCAAGGGATGCTTCTTGGTGACTCTGGATCCATCAGCCTCCTTATACATAGCTTGAGGGTTAGTAACAGGAACTGCCTTGCCTTCAGTTGAAGCCCAAACAGATCTAAATGGTTCAGTGATGGGGATTAAAGCTTGACCTTGATTCTTGCTGTTGGAGTCAAAATCAGGAGCCACTGAACCATCAGGACCTCTTGAGGAAAGAGGAGCATGGAGCTCTAAGCACAAGTCCAGGGTGTAGAGATAAGAAAGGGAGGTAGGAGAAAACCTATCATGAAACATTCTAGTCATTTGAGGCCAATCAATTTTGCGCTTGAAATCACCTTTATCATCAATAAACTCTCTAAGTATAGTAAATAAATGATGATCCAATCTACTCCAGGACCTTTGATAAAACACATGAGGTTCTGATTTTGAAGCTTGATTTCTTCTTTGAGCTAATATACTAGACATATGAATCATTAAAGCAGCATCTGTCATTTTTTGTTCTCTATACCAAACCCAAACATGAAATAAACCAGAAGTCCCAAACATCAGAAAAAGCGCCAATGCTTGAATTGCTTGTCTTCTGAAATTGAAAGTCTCATCATTTGCAGCGGATTGAATTTCTTTCTCAGTCACTTTAGCCAATGCATCACTTGAGGGGACTTGATTTTTCTTGAAACCAGTTAATGCTTTGACTGGATTTTTCCGGATATAATCTGTTGAAAGCTGATGTAACACTGAACCTTTGAGCTCATTCCTTCTAGCTGCAATCTGATTATAAGTTCTTTTAACCTTACAATAAACCTTGAGTTGTCTATTGTAAACATCTCTTTCATAAATCAACATAACCCCAGTAAGCACCAGTAAGAACCTCTTTTGAAGCCAACCAATACCTAGAGGACGAACTTTACTAGATTTGACTTCCTGCTCCTCCATAGCCTTCATCATACACTTCTTCCAAGCCCAAGCAATGCTCTGAGACATTGGCACCATACTAGCTGCAACCTTATGTTCACCTTCAGTTTTAATTTCAATGTTTTCAGATTTAGCATTATAAGAAATTAGCTCTACGCTTTCCTCAAATATTCTATGGATAGTCTTGTGAGCGGTTTTTAGTTTGTTCTTAATGTCTTTTTCAGATGTCCAAACAGTTGATTTCGAAGTCCGGCAGGCCATAGAGTGGAAGGCACAAAAAATACGGTGCCTGGAGTCCCAAGGATAGCGAGTAGACTCGTTTATAAGTGGCCACCTAATCAAAGATTCAGTGAGGTAAGGGTCCGTTGCAGCGATTTGCAAAAGTCTCGGACCTGATTCAGAAGCGTAAATGTCAGCGAATGGCTCATCACTAGGATCAAAAAATAAAAGAGGGGAAGAGTACTTACAAGCTGAAATGTTTTTTGGAGTATCCCTCTCATTTACTTTCCTTTTCATCAAAACTACCAGAGGCTGGAGGGTATCATGAGTTGGCTGACCCAATTGGCTATTCTCATGATACTGCCAGCTTGAAATAACTCCAATAACCGATTCTTTCAATGCCTCGCCCCAGTCGAATTGAGTGGAGCTCAATGTCGTAGCCGAAGTACAAATAAATTCGATCTCTTCAGCTGTAGGATTCTGGATGAGTTCTACGGACATCAAACATGTCAGTCGGTATTTCGAATTAAAGAAAGCCCGCCAAAACTCAGTTTTTGGCGGGCTTTATCGTGCGTCCTTTGTACCTCAATGTGAAAAGCCCGCCAAAAACTGATTTTCGGCGGGCTTTATCGTGCGTCCTTTTTACATTGAGGTAGAGGGAAGGAGATAGAGGAAAGGAAGAGGGGAGAGCGGTAATGTTACAAGACTTACTGCTGATGTCCAGTATTGAGTCGGAGTTATGGAAAATCGAGTCTGGGGAGATTGGAAATTCCTTGACCGTAGGCTTGACCACCTTGGCAGGTGTATCTTTGACAGCCCCTTTACCTTTGGCTGGTAAGTCCTTCGCATCAACTTCCTGATTCTGAATTGCATCAGGACCCCGGATTTCTTCTTCCTCCTCACTATCTTCATCAGATTCCTTGGAGTCTTTGCCTTCGTTGTCGTCGTACACAAATTCAGCGCTCTTATATTCAACTTTCCTCCTTTTCTTTTTCCCCCCACATCCTTCCTCTTGAATCTCCTTCTCACTGACTCCAGCCTCTAAGTCAAGATATTCTTTAGCGGCCTTAGACAGACCTGGAGGAACGGTCGTATACTCAGCCTATTATCAGCAAAGGCTTGATGAGTAGCCTGGATCAGAGATAAGTAAACTTACTCTGCTTGGTATGAAGTCCTACCTTAGCCTTGCCTCCCGGCCGAGGAACTTTCGGCATTGGATTACGGAAGGGTATTATCTCAATTTCATCTTGACCCTCGGTTATCGCCTCGTTGAGTCGTTCCTCTCGCTTCTTCAAAGCCTGATCTTGAATAGACAAGGCTGTCATCATCCATTCTATCTCACCATCAAATTCGATGGGATTGTCTTCCTCCTTAGTACTTTCTTGGAAATCTTTGAATGCTTTCAAAGACTCTTCATGTATTTCTTTGACTACAAAAGAACAGTCAAATCAGCTCTCATACCTAATAAAGCTGTACATAGGTGGTAATGACTTACATCGTTGATAACGACTCAAGGCGCTCGTCACTTTCATTTTCCGTACAGCTTGGGAAGGAGTCAACTCCTGTGAACGAACATGCCAGACATAGTAAGTTGTAGGGTCGGCGGAATATATGGTGGATGAAATGATCAGGTTTGAATGAAGTATGTAGATGAAATCGTGGAATGAGAAAGCCCGCCAAAAACATATATTCGGCGGGCTTTCTAGTCTAATGAGAGGAGAGGAGAGTAGGAAACGAGAAAGCCCGCCAAAAACATATACTCGGCGGGCTTTCTGGTATGATGTGGTTTAAGATGGAAAAGCAGAGACCGGATAGGAAAGAAGGAGGGGAGAAAGCCCGCTGAAAACATATATTTGGCGGGCTTTCATGTGGCATGGAAAGGAAAGTGTAATAGAAATGAAAGAGAGAGATGGGAAAGGGAAGAGAAACATTAGAAAGCCCGCCGAAAATGTGTTTTCGGAGGGCTTTCTAGTTCGCATGTTGTGGTTACTCACTTCGCTTGGGGTCCTCTCGGCCTTGGGGATCTTGTATTTGTTGAGCTTCTCGATAGCTGATTGAAGACCTGGGTTCGGAACAGCCTATGTTGGTGAGATGGATCAATCAGTGACCGACCTCAGGGATTTCGCTCAGGTGGCACTCACTTGACCTGGGGTAACATCCATCTATATGTTCATTCCTGGCTCCACTGGCATTTCCTCCTCTTCACCTTCAATTTTGTTTTCAGTGTCAGAGCCCTAATCCATGAATCTTACATCAGTACCATGTTCAGCTACAGATGCCAGGTGAACTCACCTGTTTGGACTCCACATCAGCTTCAGCCTCAACCGCCATTTCTCCTCCTGAGCCGTTTCCAGTCTCCTAAGAAGATTAAATGAGTTAATATCCAATTATATTGAGATACTTACATGACTCCTCCAGCCAACTCACATCAGCCTTGGAGTCATCCAGCTCTTGATGTTGATCGTTTTCATCTTCTTTTTGTCTTTGTTGAGAGTCTCCAGTGGACTGCATACACAAGTGAGCGATTTTGAGCTTCTATGACTTCCAGGTGATCCATTTGATAGGCTTACCTGGTGGCCAGTAGGTGCAGCAGGGGTCACTGGTCGTTCCTGGACCTTTGATTTTGGGGCTTGCTGGATCTATCATCACAAAGTTAGACTTCCTGCTTCTAGATTAGATTTGATCAAACTCACCTTAGGCATTATCTGTATCAACAAGGTATAGTTTGATGAGAGTTAGTCCGATTTTGTAGTGTCATATTTGCACTGATGACTTACTTGATGCTGATGATGAGGTGGCTTTGCTGGTGTGTTGGGTGTTTGTGTTGATGATGATGATGAGGACTGGTGGTGGTGTTTGGTTTAGTTGAGAATGAAGTGGATGAAATGAAAATTCAAAGGGGAATTGGAATCGAATGGGAGGTGGGACCTGGAGTGGTCCGCTTTTAAACATAAGTGGACACCTCATCCTGTTGGGTCAACTTGTGGTTGCTTGACACATGACATCTTAGGTTTACATTCAGACCTGTACCGGACCTTTCACACATGTGACATGGTAAGGTTGAAAACGGTTACACCTGGGATTTGAACCCAGGTCCCTCCCCTGTCTGGTTTGGCAGTCAAGCGTGCTGACCACTGGACTATAGTCCCTGTGGAAGTATACATGGCTTGAGTGTATTATCTTATCGCTTTCTATCCAAAATCATCTCATCTATTGAGTTACTCACCCTGAGTGGTGACCTGGCATGCTGTTTCCACTGGCGCTTAATGTTGATGCGCTTGGGCAAAGGTGGTGCATTGGGCTTACCGTCATAAGGCAAAGCCTGGTGATGATCTTTGAATTGGTGTGGCAATTCACCATCACCACACGTAGCCTACAGAACTAGGATGATGGACTTCATCTGTTCCATGTAGAAATTCAGCTCAATGGGATAGTCCAGTAAGCTTATTGATTGGTGGGTCATCACACGCATTGGGGGTAGGGTGGTGTAGTCCGTACAATACACTTCATCCCGTAAATACGCAAAAGAAGCTCAACTTGCCTATACCAGCCGCGTGGAGTAAGCTCCCATTGCCTGCCTGATGACAGTCTGCCAAAAGTGAAAACTCGGCGGCCTTTCAGTGCTAAACTTCTTTGTTAATGCTAGTGCTGACGTTGCGCCCCACAGAATCATAAGAAAGTCCGCCGAAAATCCATTTTCGGCGGACTTTCTGTAAATTGCGCCCCAATAATTAGGGGCTCAAGGCTCAAGGCAAAAGTATTGGGGCACATCCAGCCAATTGCGCCCCAATGCGCCCCAACCCTGAGGCCTCAAGGCGGGGAGGCGGTAGCTAGGGTTCTTTGCCAAGGCTTCAGCACCTTTGTTATCAACGTGAATAGGAATAGCCAAACTTGGACATAATTTAAGTTCTGATAAGAGATTGCGTAACCAAGTAGCTTCACAACAAGAATCAGAAATTGCTTTGTACTCAGCCTCTATGCTTGACAATCACACCGTTTGCTGTTTCCTCAATTTCCACAAGATAGGGCCACAGCCAACTAGATATGTGTGACCAGTCGTAGACCGTCTGTCACAACGGTCTTCAGCCCAATCTGAATCACTAAAACCGGACACAGCAAAGTCCTTACCACCTAATGACAATTGGAGAGAAGAGGTTCAGCCCAGATACGACAAGGTTGATAGATGTTGTAGTTGCCTTTTTGGAGACTGGAGGAACATATTGCACACTTCGGTTGTTGAGTGTCCGTAGTTCTGAGTAGAGTGCAGTGAGAAAATGGGTATTGAGTGATGTGCTGTAAGGAAAGGCTGATGAGCAGTGTTTGTAATACGGAATGAGAGATGTCAGAGTTAAGGCATAAAATAAATACTGTGTTCTATGGTTGACTTGTGGTATTTACAAACAATGTTTTGTGGATCAGTTGAGGTTTTGAGTTGTTGTTTTTGTGAATTGTGTTTGCAAAACTGGTTTTTTTGAAATCTTATGGTATTATTTGTGTCAAAGTGACAAGGAACGAGTGAAATTTCGACTTGTGGTTGGAAAATGTGGCAAAAGTGGCAAAAACATATGTTTTTTCCCAAATACAGGTGGTTTAAGTCCAGTATTTGAGTTTAATCCACAGTTTTGTCAGGTTTTTCCAGTTTTGCACCCGCGGATTTTGAAATGTCAATTTTTGAAATTTGAAGTTGTCACTTTGACCCACCTTGCATTCCGTACAATGGCATGTATGACTTTCTTTCCATTTTCTTGCAGAAGAACCTTGGCCAACTCTCTTCCAATTGTTCTGGGATTTGTGAACACAAATCATTGGGTTTCTCTCACTTTTTCTTCTCATTCCCCTTGACCTTTTCCAAATACTTCTCAGTATATTACCACACATCAGAGATGTGAGAAAGTGGCTGGAAGAAATGCTGCTAGTTGGAAAAAGGACAATTTTATGAACAGTTGCTTTGATCTTTGGGATGAAAAGATGGTGGAATGGGAAGCATCTAAGGATAAGAAAGAAGTTACGGAAACAGTTACTACCAGGAGTTCAAAAAAAAGAATGTCTGTTTGTATTGATTTGAGTTGATTTTGTATTTTCTTTATCTTTGCAAAGTGTTGAATTTGATTTTCACTTGGTTCATAAAGTCTGGAACAGTTGAGCTGTCCAGGAAATGAGCACGTAAAAATGGCGCCCATATTGCCATATGGGCGCTAAATTGTGGCGCCTATGTGGAAATATGGGCGCTAATTGATGGCGCCCATATGGGCCCGGGGTGGGTGGTAAATAGCAGGGGCCTAGATATAAAGCACACATAGTAAGTTCTTTCTGCTTCCGCAGCATATATCAAAACGCATCAATTGCTGAAGAAAGTGTCTTTCTCCAACGTCTGGGCTTCATAGTCAAACCAAGAATATGTCAGGTTTCCAATGTGAATGTTGACATCCAGAAATGTTCAAGCTATATAGGAGTCACCTGTTTGGATTTTTGAACCAAAATTGGTGGGCAAGCTTGATCAAGAAATGAATCTATTGCAAGTGCAAACCCTTGTGTTTGCACAGTACAAAATTCCCACAATTCATGATGCAGCCAAAGGAGCCTGATGGAATATGCTACCTGTGGATGTACAGGTGAACCACCAATGTACCCTATTTGTATTAGACAAACCTGGTCTGAAGTACATTGGCAAAATTGTATTTATTCCTGCTTCCAATCTTGATTGAAGTGTCACCCACCAAGATAAGTCAAATTCAATTGCTAAAATGGAAGGAACACAGCTAGCAACACACTAACAATGTCTAGCATATCAACCTTTTGAGTACGTATAGACGCAACTCCACAGCAGAAGGCCTGCTTGAAATTGTTATCCCAGCTTGATGTATCCCCCCATTGTAATGTTTTTGAGATAAAGTCATATATGAAATGAACATGTCTGGCAGATTCTTTTTCCAATTACGCTTTTCAGTCAACCACTTACTTTTGTAATAAGAGCCTTGGACATAGTTGGAGAAGGGGATGTTCTCATCTGGTAGTGATATAACTTCAGGTAGAATAGGCTGCGTCTCAGGTGGTATGACATTGTGGTCATTGTCCTCCAATGCCATGATATCAGGATCAAGGTCAGCAGGGGCATCGACTTCTTCAACTACAGGGCCATTCAGTACATTTCCCGCCTGTGCTAGTGCAAGTTCAAGCTCTTCAATCCAATCATTCATGTATTGAGCCTCGCTGGCTTGTACTGCTCCCACAATAATTCCAGAGCCTTCAGCGGCTGTTATTGTGCGTTTCTTCTTTTGGTTTCCACCAGAAGGACAAGGGAGTGTGTTGCCCCTCTTGCCCATTTTTTGTTTCTAGAGCGTATCAATTGGAAATTGGCTGAGATTTGAGAGAAGAAAGATTTTGAGAACAATTGCGATTTTTAAAAACTTTTAAGCAAATCGCTTCACAGCAGGGACAGGACTTAAAAGCACAGACTCATTTGAATCATCCTAATGCGGACAGATAGTGACACTGGCCCCTATTTACCAGATATGGCAACCCTCCACCAGTCCAAGCCATCCCCATTGCAAAAATCTGTACTATTTTCTTAGTGATGGACAGTTTAGGTAAGTGCCCCCCATTTATTTAGTTCACAACACAACATTGACCATTGCTATCAATTACCCCCATAAACAAAATATTTCTAGACAAGCTTGAGATTAATCGGGTAGAATTGGATGCTCATTAAAATCATGTTGTACAGTCTTGTACATCCTATACATACAGCTTATACAGAACAATCAAGATGTATGTCATACACCTTGGTCATCATGTGAGACATGATAAGTAATACCTGACTCGTAAGCTTGTACAGGTGCTTTATTTCAAATGTCATGTCCTGAGAATCCTGACTCAGTGTTTGACTTCACCCTTCCAATCTATTGTCTTCCATCAATCATTTCCAGTCTTCTCAATTGGTCCTACCATCCCCTTGATTCCTCTGCAATGGGTACAATTCGATCATCCACACGCTCCCGACGCAAAGCCCACAAAGCGACTAGACCTGTTTCCTTGAAGTCAATATTGTCAAAGGTCAAATTAACTCAACATACATTTTCCTGAGCGCCAAAAATACCCCGCTTACCTCCTGTGTCAGACAAAGACTACAATGCGTATGATATCAAGGATGATGTTGACGAATATGATTGGGATGAGTAAGATGGTGAGCAGCATCCTCTTTGTTAACAATTCCAATTGATTTTCCTAGTCAATTTAAACTAACTAATTTCTTACTACCCAAACCACCACCCTCCAAATCAGATGACCAGTACAAAGATGTCCTGGATGATGATGGTCAGAAGCAATTATCCAAGTTTAACTCTGAAGATGCTAACATTTTGATTTTACTAGTACATGACAAGATTGACGACAACGCTGAAGATGAGACAGATTCCATCCTTGAACATCTGGCAAGGCAATTCTCCCCCCAGGAATCAAGCACTAGCAATGCCCCAGCTCCTGCCCAAAACCTCAATGGCCGCTTGCTTTACTCTTCAAAATCTCAATTGGAGGAGGAATTGGATACCATCCTACCTACTATTGAAAACTACAAGCAACAAGTTGATGAGTGGCCACCTGCCCGTATAGCAGTGGTTGACCGGTCTCAAAAGAAGAAGCTTACTGCTGTGCCACCTAGGATTTTAAACAAAGCACGGGCAATTCAAAAGCTTTACAAGCAGCATAAGTCACTACTTGCAATCATGGGGAATGTGAGTAAGTTCACTATGGACAAAGCATTGTAAGTGCTATACTTTTTAATATATCTTGCTCCACTGACTCATGACAATAACCAACAGAGGTGAACTTGGAGGTTGTCGACGCCCAAGTGGTTATCAGATTTGGTTGAAGTTTGGCCAAGCGTGAGATAGAAAATCACAAAAAAGGAAGTGAATCACGTCTTTTATTGACCCTTGCTAACCATATGTATCTAACCATATGTATTAGTGCCACTGAAGGGGAAGGGGCAGAATGGAGTCTTATCTTCCCGTAATAAGATCCTAGGGGATCTATGGAACTCTCTACCTGATCGTCATCAAGAAGTTTTTTTGCCTCATATTTTCCATGCACTCTCCGGTTTGTCTTATTCCCATCAGGGAAATAAACTTGATAATGAAGAAGAAAAGGAAAA